TATATATATATATATATATATATATATATATATATATATATATATATATATATCGCGACATTAACACACCGAATTAATCTTGTGGGAGCATTTGTTAGACTAAGAATAAATATGATTCACAATTCGCCAGTCCTAACGATACAGGCGTCGACGTTTAGAGAGCCCTGCAGGTTTTACTAGATCTAGTATCTTATAATCTAGTAAAACCTGCAGGACTCTCTAAACGTCGACGCCTGTATCGTTAGGACTAGCGAATTGTGAATCATATTTATTCTTGGTCGGTGTCGTGCTTTTATGTGGAAAATGGAAAAAAAATTACATTAGGGTGAACTTGTACTTGTTCAATTAGGCAACTTGTCATTGGGCAAGATGCTCCACTCCTTTTTGGCAAGATGGCCACTGCCCACTACAAATTTCGGGGGGGGGGAGGTAGAGGACGACCCCCTACATACGGGCCCCAGGTTAGAAAATGGCGGCTAGACAGAGTTTTCCTCGGTGGAAAGGTCCGTTAGAATGGCTTGCGGACGAACGCGACCAGGTATGCTTACTACCTGGGTCTCTATTGTAATTACTGTATTATTCGAGGGCTAAGGCACTGGAAACACAAGTGTTCGTCAACTGCATACATGTCGTCGGGGACTTTACAGAGGGTCTGAGCCCGAAATAATTTCTTTGTCTGAGTTTAGCTCCTCGTAATAAAGCAGTTGACTTAAACTATTGCTATAAGGTATTAATGTGTTCCGGGGCCAACAAAGTTCATAACAAGAAAACGTGCAGCAACAACTTTTCAGCTGCCACAAAGAAAACATTAATCTATCGCGCAAGACAATAGAGCTGTTATCTGCGGTATAGAATTTAAAACTCTCGGCATTCACGCGAACGATGCAACTTTTTAATCACGCAATGAAGTAATCTCGTGAGTGCGTGACTGTTTTTATCCACTTCCATTTATTATAATAATTGCATGAAATATAATTCTAACATCTCTGTTTCTTCAAATACAACTTAGCGGATTTTTAGGGATAAAGGCAAAGGCCCTAATAGTGAAAATACTCATTAACACTAGCTTTACGCGGAAGCCGTCAAAATGGCGGGTCACTAATTTTATAATTTACGATTATTCATCTCGTAAAGATACATTCATGAGTTATTTATTCAGTTTATATGTTACTTACACAGCAAATATTACAGTAACACTCTTGTTAAAAATCAGAATAAATGTCTTATTGTTACTTTTATTGTATTTTATAGTATTTTCTAAAGGTTATCACATACCTCACTGTGTCATATATCTATATAGAAATTCATTGTTATTCTACTTGTTATAAGCATACTTCTTCGTATAGCACTTCTATTGATTTTCTACAACTCTTTGTACTCGGGAAACGTCGACATGTTGCGCACATCATTTTCTCATCAAGTGTCACAATTTTGGCGGGTAAGACTAGACGAATAGAAAATCGATAAATAAGCACCACTTTGGTGCACAGTTTAGGGAACATTCTGCAATCCTTTCAAATGATAAGTTCTTTAAATTATTACTGTCACGATTTTCCGATAAGTTTCATTATTAAGCTGCGGATTTTATGCTTTTGTGCAACATTGAGTAGTTGTAATCAAAAATAAGAAAAAGAGTTAAAGAATTTAAAAAAAATTTTAATCTATAAAATAATTGTAAATGATGGAGTAAAAAAAGGAAGATGGGGCGTTTCGTCCTGGGCCTGCTAGAGAACTCGTCAGTAAGGCTATCCTAGCAGGTCCTGCCTTAGACGCGGAAGTATCGGGGCCTGACCGCAGGAGGGAATGGAATATACACGCAATTGTTCCTTCAGAGCCGTAGACATATGTCGAAATTCGGTCAAAGGTATTCCCTTTGTGTGTGGGTCCCGCCGATCCGCTGGATTATTCTGTTACAGACGACGACGACTTGTAGGTCCCAGGTATCTCTGGGGGCTGCGCTCCTGATTCCATGCGTCATCCAACAGATCGCACACACCTAGGTGAAGAACTTTTTAATTGACCTCGTCCCTTCAGTCTGCAACTGCATTCTATTCTCCCTTGCGCTGCTCAATGTTGTTGTTGTTGTTGTTGGTTTTGGTGGTTGCTCCCAGATAGTCACCAATTTTGGCGATGTTGTGGATAATGAATGAGCGGAGGAAAGGACAGGATACACCACGTTTCGTTCTGGATCCGCTAGAGGACTCGTCAGTAAGGCTTTCTAGCGGACCCTGCCTTAGACGCGGGGATATTGGACGAACAGTTGGGGACGGTATATATACGAATCGTTGACGGTTCAGGTAGCTGCGAGAAACGGATCCATCTGGTGACGATCGCTAGAGGTAGCCATTGCAACTTTAGTGTAAAAATATATACATATATATATATATATATACATATATATATATACATATATATATA